CAGACTTTTTATAATCATTGTATGGGTGGAGACCTGGAAATGGTAAAATTTTTTGACAAATTGCCCCAAAACTGAAGCGATGCCATTTAGTGGCAGCAAAGGGGTGACTGCAGGTGACATCTGACCTTGTAAAAGTCTTAAGACAAAAAAAAGCATTTGATGGATCCTATTACTATGTCACAGAAACCTCGTACGGATGAAAATCTACACCTGGTCTCATTTTAAGACAAATTGCAGCGCGGCATAGTGTGGGCGGGAAGGAGGGTGACGATCCACTGGCGGCTCGGTGACAAAAGGGGTCTATTAACTAAAAACAGAACACACTGGGGAAAGCTCAAAATAAAAGGACTAGCAGGGGTCAAAAAGCAAACAGGGAAACAAGAACTAACTATAAGACTCCTAAAGTAGCATGATTAAGAAACAGGGTGATACTGGGAGCAGGATGATAACGCAAGCAGCATCTCAAACACACAGCAACATGAATACACAATGACTGAATGGGGGACTGAACAAAGGCAGGCACTTAAATACACAGATAACTAGGACTGACAAAGGGCAGGTGTGATTCATTAAAACGATCAACCAATCACGCAGGGCGCAGGACAACGAGCAGCAGGTGGGACAATGAAATACTGGCACAGAGAAACAGGCGACAGGTAGGGTAACTGATACTAAACATAGATCTAGGGAACGCTAACAGGGATAACAGGACTAGGAACATGTACAAGAAAAACCAAAATCAAACACAGGACACAAGCAGGACAAAGTGAAGCAGGGAAGCAAAAATAAACACTTGGAAAAAAACAGAAAACCAATGAATACAAAATAACAGAGGAGGCCAGCGTCAAACCCATGATTAGAGGGTTAATAGACTGCATGCTGCACACGCAACCAACTAAGCTACACAGCAGTGCAGGGAACAGGGATAACACACTAGGGAAGATTAGGAACTAAGACAGAGGGAGCAGGTTGGCCAGCGACACCTGCTGGCCGAACGGGGAATGAACACATGGGAGAAGGATGAAATAAATGACAGAGAGGGGGAAAGGCAAAATGGCCAGCAATACCTGCTGGCCTAATGGGGAAGGGTCACAGAGGGCGGGGTCGGACGGTACCGACCCTGAGACAGATATACTTGCTACTTGAGATAAAATATGCGTCATGATTTATTAATGATGAACAAACATGAGATCAGTATTTCATTTGTGTTATGTTTCCGATGCCAGGCCTAGTAAATTATTGGCTCTCAGGCTTAGGCAATCTGACTCATTTTTAATGATCTCCTCAATTAAAACTAGGGATGGGGTCCTCATCAATTACCCCCAGGAAATTAGCAACTGATTTTTTCAGTTCTACTCAGATTCATTCTCCCCACCCTCTGCCTCCTCACCCTTCGATCCTGATTTGTTTCTTGATGCCTAACCCCTCCCCCAGCTCTTGGGTCCAGAAGCCCCTGTGCTTGATGTTCCTCTTTCAATCACTGAACTTAAAGAGGCTCTGGACTCCAAGAGCCCTGGGAAATATCCAGGGCCCAAGGGTCTCCCTCCTGAACTCCTTCCTACCTTCTGGAAACAGCTTTCTACTCCACTCTTCCATATGCTGAATTATGCTATTTCTGCCTCTCATCTCCATCCTTCTCTTAATTCATCCTTGATGACTTTACTACTCAATCAAAGCAAAGACCCCACAGACTGTTCCAGCTACTGCCTATTGTCCCTGATGAACTCCGTTGTCAAACTGATCGCAAAGGTTCTTGCTCGTCGGCTGCAGACGGTGATTTCTAAATTGATCCACCGAGACCAAACTGGCTTTATTAAGTCCCGCCGTGCTGCCAACAGCATGCGCTGCCTGCTACGTGAACTTCATGCTGCTCTTTCCTTTCCTTTCCCTGCTGCCCTTCCCTCTACAGATGCGGAGAAGGCTTTTGATAGGATGAATTGGACATCTTTGTGGAGGATCCTCAATCAAATGGGCTTGGGCCAGACCCTTTACTCCTCCCCCTCCTCTGTCCTCCTGTCTAATGCCAACACTTCTCCTCTATTTCGGCTCCTTGGAGGAGCCACTCAGGGCTGTCCTCTTTCTCCTTTACTCATTAATCTCCGGTTTCCCCCCACAGTCCAAAGACATGCTGAGGCTAATTGGAGTTGCTAAATTGCCCGTAGATGTGCATGTGTGAGTGAATGGTGTGTGAGTGTGCCCTGCGATGGGCTGGCCCCCCATCCAGGGTTGTTCCCTGCCTCATGCCCATTGCTTCTGGGATAGGCTCCGGACCCCCCGTGACCCAGTAGGATAAGCCGGTTGGACAATGGATGGACTTTATTTTTATAACCAGGGTTCCTGGGTTTTGCTTTCACTTTTTTGTCTGTTATGGTGCTGTCTCAAGGTACATTGGGGGGGGGGGGTGTTTGTTGCATTTTGTTTGGTTCAGTGTTCCGTTCTACGTGAAAAGAAAAAATTGGCCACAAAAAAATATTTAATTTGTGTTATTCATTACTTGTTCCTTCACTAATTCGCAAAGGTTTCCAGAATTAACAAATATAGAAACAAATATAGTAACTGCTTGACATAAAACATTCATTAGTGATGAATTCATATGATACCAGTATGTAACTAAGACTTAGTTTATGGTTCATTAATCGATAAGTATGACACTATATTTGTGCCCCGTCAAATAAAGTGTTACATTAATATTGATTTGAAAGTCATACATGCAGATTTGCCACAAACCACACAGAAGTCTGCAGAAAAAAGCAGCCTGGTCTCTGTCCCTCCCTGCTTGCTTTGTGACTGTGACCTGCTGTCACCCTTCCGCATTGTGGTGTTAAGTCACATCCTGCTCTTAGTCAATGTAGTTTTACTCTCACGTGTCTGCAGCAGTTGATCCATTTCCATCGTCCTCTGCTGTCTCGATTATCTGCTCCTAAATCTAGAAAACCAGCCCAAACTGGGTCAGAACTGAACCGCCGGCCAGCCACCATCCTTGATGCAGAGACGCGAGATGAGATCCACGCAAGTGTCGGTCCTGTGGTTGATCCTGGCCCTCAGAGCCGGTGAGTTTGCAGATTCCAGCCCGCTGCTCTGTTCTCGTACGGTTCCCCCACATACAGTCGCCAGGTTGTTAGATTATCTGCCAGTTAATTCCTTTCTGAAAGTTACATCTTTCATTTTCCACAAAGTCACGTCTAACCTGGCTTCTCACTTCTTAGTTTCCGCCATTAGCGCTGAGGTGCCGAATGCCTTTGTGTCAAATACTAAAATTTCTATCTTTTATTCATATGCAAGTCAAAATTTCATAAGATAAAGAGCAAAGAGATAGATTTTGGTGATGGAATGTGTGGACCAGTGTTTGACCGAGTGCAGACTTCACATTTTGAGCAAGATAATTTGTTGTGTTGCCGACACTCCTCAGGAAATGTATATGACAAAATATTTCCTGTTTTGCTTGAAAAGCGTTACTGAGTAAGAGTGTCAGTGCTGGCATCGCACGTCTCTGGTTGCTGTGGATTTCGGCGAAGGAATGAGTGGACCAGGCCTAAGCAGGGCAAGGTCTCCATATTCTGAGCACCATGTGATCTGGAAGTGTGTGTCCTTCCTTTAAGAGTATCAATGCAAACGTTGTACGGCTCAGTTAGCCGCATGGCTATTCATCCACTTATCAGAAAAATCTACTGAGTGTAATATATTTTATGAAAATGCCAGCATGCTAACCGGATCAGAACAAACCTCCCTTACTGAGGCTCCAAGCCAGCTGGGAGATACAGTCCCTCCAGCAAGTGCTGGGTCTGCCCAGGGGCCTCCGCCCAGCATACAAGACGAAGGTCTTAGTCTGATGTTCCCCACTGGCAGATGAGCTCTGATCCAAAGCAGGTTTCAGCCCCGTATAACATTGCAACTTTAGGGATACATTTAAAATGCCATTCATTCTTTGCTTTTGCAGCTGGGAGGGAGACCGGCCTGTGCTCAGCAGCGTTTTAGCTGAAATGAGGCCAGATCCCATCATGCACTGTCAGTCACTGCCTGGTTCAACCCAGCAGCACAAAGTAGCTTATAGTTACATGGATAGTAAATACTGCAGCTTTCCCGTCCCCAGCTGAAGTGATTTTGCGAGATTCAAACCCAGTATCGCTTATTGCTGCCATTCTTTTTTGTAGCTGCTGATGATTTTTGTATTGGACTCCTGTCATGTTGGGAAGGCTATTAAAGCACATTTTTTTAAATAATGGTGCTCATT